CCTCCCTCCTCCCTCCTATCTCCTTCCTCCTCCCGCCTCCCTCGGGTTGCATCGCCGAGCGCATCGCCGCTTCGCGGCGCGCGCCGCGTCCGCCATGGTGGCAGCAGCCCCCAGCCGCCCGGCGCCCGGCCCGGCCGCCCGCGCCCAGGCTCGCTCGCCACTTCGATCAGGTCGGCGATACCTTGAGCCAGCATGGTTTGAGCCCACACGGCTACGGCACATGAATTGCACCACATAGATAGCATCACATCGAGCGCACCACACACATGTATATGTGCACGTACGTACATACACACATACATGCACGCACGCATACATACACACATACATACACTCATGCATGTATTCATACATGCGTACATGCATACATGCATACATACATTCATACATATATATATATATATATATATACAGACCATCATTCACACATACATACATACATACATACATACATACATACATACATACATACATACATACATACAAACATACATACATACATACATACATATATACATACATACATACATACATACATACATACATACATACATACATACATACACACATACATACATACATGCATGCATGCATGCATGCATACATACATACACACACATACAGACAGACAGACCGACTGACTGACATACATACACACACATACATACATGCATACATGCATACATGCATACATGCATACATACATACATTCATACATACATGCATGCATACATACATACATACACATATGCATACACCCATCAATCCATACATACATGCATACATACCTATATCAGGCATGCACACGTGTCTACATGTACACATGCATGTATGCATGCATATATATATATACAGCATGCATGCATGCACATACACATACATACATACATACATGCATGCATGCATACATACTCACATACTTACATACATGAATACATGCATCCATGCATGCATACGTACATACACACATATATACATACTTGTATGCATGCATGCAGATAGACAGACATACAAACATACATACGTACATACATGCAAACCTACAGACAGACATGTCATATATGCATGCATACATGCAGCCATACATACATGCATATATGCATACATACTTACATACATACATGCCTTCGTGCGTGCGTGCGTACGTACGTACATACATACATCTACATATATGGTCCAGGGCTTGGGCCCCCCCCCAATGCTGATGCCATTGGGCCCCCCCCCCCGCGCAATGGTCCCCCCCGCCCCCCCCTGTGGGCGTGGCGTGGTGCTGCGCTGCGGTGCCCCCCTCCCCCCCCCCTGTGGATGTGGTGTGGTGCTGTGGTGGTTCAGAGGTGGGCGTGGCGTGGTGCTGCGCTGCGGTGCCCCCCTCCCCCCCCCTGTGGATGTGGTGTGGTGCTGTGGTGGTTCAGAGTCGTCGTCGTCGTCGTCGTCGTCCTCGTCGTCCTCGTCGTCCTCGTCGTCGTCGTCGTCGTCGTCGTCGTCGTCGTCGTCGTCATCGTCGTCATCGTCGTCGTCGCCGCCGCCGCCGCGGCGCGTCGTCGTCGTCGCGGCGCAGCCGTCGTCGTGTCGTGGTCGTCGTCGTCGTCGTAGTCGCCGTCGTTCGTCGCGTCGCCGTGTCGCGCCGTCGCCGTCGCCGTCGCCGTCGCCGTCGCCGTCGCCGTCGTCGCGTCGCCGTCGCGTCGTCGTCGTCGTCGTCGCTCGTCGTCGTCGCGTCGTCTTGGGACCATACCATCCGGGGGGGGGGGGGCCCGAGGAACCCTGGGACCATACCATCTGGGGGGGGGGGCCGTGGGCCCGGAGCCCGGGATCATATATGGGTACAATGCTCCAAAGACGATGCACCACATAGGCTTCACCGCAGATATGGCGCCAGACCGATTGCACAACATGTATTGCCCATCGTAGATTGCACAACATAAAGTGCAACCCATCGATTGTACCACATATCTTGCTCCACACAGGTTGCACCACGTCTATCGCCCCACATCGAGAGCATCACCTAGATTGCTAGAAGCACACCGTTTGGGGTCCACGCTGGCTAACATCACACACATGTATATACATATAACGGCGTACCGTGTCCGGGGGCGCGGGGCCGCAGCCTCGACCGCAAATGGGGGGACGTCGGCTCTTGGGGCGTCCTCAAAACGCCCCGGGAACGTGCCAAGAGAACCCGAAGACGCCCCCAGACGGACCCAAGACACCCAAAGGCCGCTCCAAGATGCCCAAGATGGCCCCCAAGACACCTCCAGAGGTCTCGCAGACGCTCTAAGAAGCCCCCGAGAGGCCCCCCAGGACGTCCCCAAGAGGCAAAAATTGCCCCATTCCCTTCGCAAAACGTATATTTTTAGCATATTCATTGTTTTCGCTGTCGTACCGTTCTTGACGACATCAGAGGTCCCCAAGACCGCCCCAAGACGGCTCAAGAGGCGCTCCCGAGGGCCCCTAGACGGCCCAACAGAGCCCCAGGACGGCCCAAGAGGCGCCCAAGACGGCCCAAACGGGCCCCCAAAGGCGCCCAAGAGAAGCCCAAGATTGGGAAATCCAACCGACAATTCGAGCTTTCCGCCACAAGAGGCGCCCGGGAGGCCCCAAGAGGCCCCGAAGAAGCCCCAAGATGCCTCCAAGAGGCCACCCAGACGCCGCAAGAAGGCCCCACGAGGACCCCCGAGAGAGCCCTGAGAGCCAAAATTGATTATTTTCCGTAGATGTTCGAAGGATTTTAGTTATCTCGCCTTCTCGGGTTCCCGACGCGCGAAAACAGCCCAAGAGGCCCCCAAGATGGACCCAAGGAAGCCCGGTCCAGGGGTCTCTAGCGACGCACGGTGCGTTTTAAACTGCCCCGGAGGCCCCCAAGACGCCCCAAGAGGCCTTTAAGATGCCGCCCAAGAGCGCCCCGAGAGGGCAAAATCGTTGATTCCTATTTGTTTTTGTTAAAATGTTGTTTGTATTCTCGCTGTTTCGTGTTTCCGGCGCTAAAGCACCGCCCAAGAGGCTCCCAAAACCGTTCCAAGACGGCCAAGACGGCGCACCAGGCGCCCTCAAGCCGGGCCTCCACGCGGCCAATACGGCCAATGACGGCTTCAGATTGCAGAACATCACCTTCCGACTGCCCAGAGAACCCCGACGATGCTCACAAGGGGCCCCAAGAAGCCCCAAGTTGCCCCCCCAAAAGCACCCAAGAGGTGCCTCCAACAGCAAGTTGAGGAAGCACGGAGAACCCCCCAGAAGCCCTTCAGATGCCCCCCGAAGACCCAATAGGCCCTCAGAAGGCACGACTATGTCACGCGCCTGTGCTTGATAGCGCTGTCCAAGATCTTCCAGCACCCCCCCGGCCTGGGCTAGAACTTGAGCGCGCGCGATGGTTCTAGTACATGTATGTGGAGTCAGAGCAGCGTGCCACGGTTCCCCAAACAAGCAATGCTTGACTTAGGGGTTTTGATGTCTAAGGACAGTTGCCTGGTTGTCGGTCTGGCCGGCTTGTGGCCGCCCGTCGCCGCCAGTCGCCGCCGTTGTTGGTCAGGGTTTTGATTGTGCGAGGCTCGCATGTTGCATTGTTTTGCATTGCCTTGCTTTGCATTTGGTCGCACTGCTTCGCATTACTCTGCATTGCGTTGCATGGCTTTGCACTGGCTTTGCACTGGCTTGCGTTGATTTGCATTGCTTAACTTTCCTTTGCTGTGGATTGGTTTGCATTGCTCAGCACTGTTATTGCGTTGCTATGCTCCCATTGCATAGATTTGCATTGCTGTGCGTTGCTTTGAATTGCTTGGCATTGCATTCATTTGCTTTGTTTTGCATTGCTGTGTATTGCTTTGCGATGCTTTCCATTGCTTTGCATTGCTCTGCTTGGTTTGCATGGCTTCGCACTGGCATTGCTTTGCATCGCGTTGCATTTGCTTGCGTTGCTTTGCATTGCGTTGCATTTGTTTGCGTTGCGTTTCATTGATTTGCAATCACACTGTCTTGCAGTTAGTTGCGTTACTGTGCGTTGTTGTGTGTTGTGTTTGCTTTGCTTTGCATTGTGTTGCATGTGTTTGCATTGCTTTCCATTGTTCTGCAATCGTAGCGTCTTGCCGTTAGTTGCGTCACTGTGCGCTATTGTGTTCTGTTTCCATTGCTTTGCATTGTGTTGCATTGTGATTCGCGCTGCTTTGTGTAACATAGAGAGCAGCATATGGACTGCACCACATCGATTGCACCACATTGATTGCAGCACCTAGATTGCACCACACAGATTCAAGGCAGTCACTGTTCGGAGTCCACGCTGACTAACATTCTACATAGGTTGCTTATGATGCGTGACTTTCCTGCTGTAGCAGCACACTCGAGCCGAGACCCGGAGGAATCATAGGAGAGGCTCCGCAGTTTCGAGGATGATGTAGGGAGCAACCACTCGATGATAATCTTTTCTGTCTGCCCCGACCCGTCAAGCATGCAAAGTTGGTCACCTCAGCCATCAACTACGATACCTATTTTCGCCGAGCCCGCGCCACAGCGGGGGGAGTCCAGCGGCAATCCAAGAAGTCCGGGCAGACCTCCGAACGCCTGGGTTAAGGCCGTTGTTCTTTTTCTTACAAGAAGAGGAAGGGGAGGAGGAGGAGGAAGGAGGAAGGGGAGGAGGAGGAGGAAGAAGGAGGAGGAGGAGGGGGAGGAGGATGATGAGGAGGAGGGGGAAGAGGAGGAGGAGGAGGAGGAGGAGGAGGAGGAGGAGGAGGAGGAGGAGGAGGAGGGGGAAGAGGAGAAAGAAGTCGAGGATTGAATTGATGGTCGGCGCGGCGGCTACCTGCAACTGCGCTGGTCATTGACAACCTCGCTGCTTCGTTTGGCCTAGCGCTTTCCCAGCGGCCTGTAGAGATGAGGGCCGATGTCTAGCTCCGCTGCATTTTCACAAGGCTGTAAACATACGGCTTGATTCGGGTTTACTCCAAATGCTGGCAGAAGGCCTGCCAGGGCTTCCTATGCAAACCGCTTCCCAGTTATAGTGCTGGCAGCAGGTCCACCGGGCGTTTCTGAAGTTCGAGCTTGGCGACAAGATCTCCGACCTACCTGGCGGCACACCCCTCGGCGCCGTGACGTATCCTCTGGGCTGGCTGGTGGTCTTCTTCACCACGACGCTCGTGGTCCCACTCTTTCTCCATATCCCTCTCTACACCCCCGTCCCCTCCCCCTCCCCTTGTCTGCTTGTCTGCCTTCTGCTCACTTCTCCCTTGCTCTCCTCTCCCCTTCTGCCCCCCCCTCCTCTCCCCCTCCCTCCCCCCCCCCGCTGCCCCCCTCTCCTCACTATCCCCTGCCCCTCTGTGGCGTGGTCACTGATTCTTAGGCTTACGCCACACCGCCGACCCCTTTAGGGGACTGGCGGTTGTTGTGTGTTGCTCCTGGGGGCCTCTTGGGCGCCTTTAGGGGGCTTCTTGGAGCTCCTTTGATTATCGAAGACGCCTTCGGCGAGTCACGGCCGCCCCCTTCCATCGGAATCGCCCATGTTGCCGAGCGTTGTGGCAAGAGCTCTGCCAAGCTATCGGACCATGTGTCCCCCCAGCCGTTCTGGAAACCCTTCGGGGAACTCTTGGGGGAGGATGGCGGGGAAGATCAGGAGGAGGAGGAGGGGGCATCTTGGGAGCCTCTGGGGGGCACTCTTAGGGTCTCCTGGGAGCTTCCTGGGAGCCTCTTGGAGGCATCTTGGGGGCCTCCTTGGGGCCTCTTATGGGGGCCTTCGGGGGCTTCTCGGGGGCTTCCTTGGCCACCTTAGGGCATTCCTGGCCCAAGCGCCGTCGGAAGCCGTCGTGGTGGCCTCCCTGGGCCGACTTGGGGCCCTCCTGGGGTGCTCCACGGCCGTCTTGGAGGCCATCTAAGGCATCTTGGAGGCCTCTTGGGCCGTCATGGAGGCCTCTTGGGGCCGTCTTTGGGGCCTCTTGGGCCGTTCCGGGGCCGTCTTGGAGGCCTTTCGGGCGATGGTGCGATCTTTTGGGGCCCGTGGGCCGTCTCGGGCCGTCGGAAGGCCGAAAGAAGCAAGCGCCCAAATCCTTCAAACACGGAAGCCCCGCGCGTTGCTGCCCTTCGTGGCGCCGCTAAAGCTTGCCCTTCGTGGCCCCTGCTCGTTGGTCTTCGTGGCCCCAAGCGTTGCCTTGCGTGGCCCCGCTCGCCGCTGCCCTTCGTGGCCCCACGCGTTTTGCCCTTCGTGTCCCCGCCCGCTGCCCTGCGTGGCCCCGCGCGTGCTTGCCCTCGTGGCCCCGGTCGTTTTACCCTTCGTGGCCCCGCTTGCTGCTCTTTGTGGCCCCTTTCGCTGCTCCTCGTGGCCCCGCGCGTTGCTGCCCTTCGTGGCCCCGCTCGCTGCCTTCCGTGGCCCCGCGCGTGCTTGCCCTTCGTGGCCTCGTTCGGTTGCGCCGTTCGTGGCCCCGTTCGCTGCCCTTCGTGGCCCCGCTCGCTGCCCTTCGTGTCCCCGCGCGTGCTTGCCCTTCGTGGCCCCGCTCTCTGCCTTTCGTGGCCCCGCTTGCTGTCCCGCGTGGCCCCGCTCGCAGCCGCGCGTGGCCTTGCGCGTCGCTGTCCTTCGCCCCCCCCCCCCCCCCCGCACTAAGCGTGGGCCCCGCGCGTTGCGTTACTGCCCATCGTGGACATGCTGCTAAAACTTGCCCTTCGTGGCCCCCCTCGCTGCCGTTCGCGGCCCAGCGCATTGCTGCTCGTCGTGCCTAAGCATTTTGCCGTTCGTGGCCCCGCGCGCACTCGCTCTTCGTGGCCCCGCTCGCTGCCCTTCGTGGCCCCGATCGCTTTGCCCTTCGTGGCCCCGATCGCTGCCCTTCGTGACCCCGCGCGTTTTGCCCTTCGTGTCCCCGCTCGCTGCCCTTCGTGGCTCAGCGTGTGCTTGCCCTGCGTGGCCCTGCTAGCTGTTGCCCTTCGTGGCCCCGCTCGATGCCATTCTGGCTCCAAGCGTTCCTGCTCTTCGTCGCCCCGTGCGATCTTGCCCTTCGTGGCCCAGCTGGTCCCCCCTGTTGTGGCCCCGCGCATTGCTGCCCCTCGCGGCCCTGGTGGAGCTTGTCCTTCGAGGGCCCGCTCGCTGCCCCTCGTGGCCCCGCGCGCGTTTGCCTTTCGTGGCCCCGCTAGGCTTTGCTTTTCGTGTCCCCGCTCGCTGCCCTTCGTGGCCCCAAGCGTGCTTGCCTTTTGCGGCCACGCTCGCTTGCCTTTTGCGGCCACGCGGTGCTGTTCTTCGTGGCTCCGCTCGCTGCTTTTCGCCCCCCGCACCCCCCTTTCTTACCCTTGTGTCCCCGTCCGCTGCATGTCGGGCCCCCTATCCAGCTGCCTGCGGCAATCCCGCCACCGTGCTTGCCTCACATCTTGGGCGGTGACTGTTCGGTTGACGATGCTTGTGGTGGTGGTGGGTGGCGGGTGGTGGGAAGTGGGTGGTGGGTGGTGGGTGGTGGGTGGTGGGTGGTAGGTGGTGGGTGGTGGGTGGTGGGTGGTGGTAGGTGGTGGGTGGTGGGTGGTGGGTGGTGGGTGGTGGGTGGTGGGTGGTGGGTGGTGGGTGGTGGGTGGTGGGTAGTGGGTGGTGGGTGGTGGGTGGTGGGTGGTGGGTGGTGGGTGGTGGGTGGTGGGTGGTGGGTGGTGGGTGGTGGGTGGTGGGTGGTGGGTGGTGGTGGGTGGTGGTGGTGGTTGTGCTTGTGCTTGTGCTTGTGCTTGTGCTTGTGTTTGTGTTTGTGTGTTTGTGTGTGTGTTGTGTGTTTTTGATGGTTGCGGTGGTGTTCAAAGCGCTTCGAGCGCTTGCAGGATATTGCATGGTAGCGCAGGGTTTCGCACGATCTTGGCAGTGTCTTTGCAGGGGAACTCTGCAGGGTATTGCACTGGACTTGCTGAGTGTTTGCCGGGTTGTTGCAGGGGGCTTTTGCAGCTTCTTGGTATGATCTTCGCAGGGAACGATGCGTTCGGGAAAGCGCGGGGTAAAGGTCGGGGGGGCCGTAGAAGATGACAGACACCCTGCCAAGCAACCCTTGGCATTCATCCGCGCTGGACCCGCGCCGAGGCACGGTGACGGATTCCCATCGCATCGATTCGGGGCCCTGTCGGCGCCTTGGCCCCCGCGATCCGTTGCACCTGGCGCAACGCGCATGCCGATGGACGCTGGCCGCGCCGCGCAAATTGTGCCGAGCGCGGCCGCGCTTGGCCAGCCCTGCGCAGGGGTGAGTACAACGACGGGGCAGCAAAAGAGCGGCTTCGTCGTCGCCGACAGGGTCGACGGGCGGGTCCAGGTCTGCGAGGAGCTGTACAACGCCCCGTTTCACTTGCCCTGGAGGCCGTTCTCCCTGGTGACGGTCATGGGCCAGGGCGGCGCCCCGACCGCGCCGGCCGCCGGACCAGCTGCAGCCGCTCCCGCCCGGCCCGCACTTGGGCCCGCGCGCGCGCTGGCACTCGCGGACGGCGGCGCCGCGGCGCCCGCGCCCTCGACGCCCGGCGCCCACCGCGCGTTCGCGAAGAACTTTAGGAATGGGATGTCGCCAGTGGAGCTGGAGAGCGACTTCGGTTGCGAAGTAGCGAAGCTTTGTTCGGCGACGTCCGCCGTGCTCACCTTCGCGCCCCTGCAGAGCGCGGAGGAGGCCGCGGGGTGGAACGGCTCGCACTACAATGGGCTCCGCTTGCACGCGAAGTGGAGCACGAAGTGATGCGCCCGCTTTGCGTCGATGTAGGGGCGAGGACGGAGGCGCGGCGTGAGGCCCGTTCCGAGGTTGTGGTCATGTCAGCCAGCGTTTCGTCGTATATTTCGGCCCCAGGTTTCGTTGTTTGGCCCCCAGGACCGTCAAGAAAAGCGCTGGGTCGACGCCATCATGCAATTTAGTAGGTCGCGCGCTCAGGTCGCGGGCTCGGGGGGTGCGGCATCTTCGCCAGCCGCGGCGACTACCCAGCCCGCTTTGCCAGGGCATCCCTGGAAGGATGGAAAGCACGAAAGTTCAATATGCTAATGCGCTGCCCGCTCCGGCAGTTCCTGCCTGGATGGAGTGGGAAGGGCGCGGCAGCTAGAACATAGTACGGCGCGCTAGTGGCCTGCCCGCCGTGGCAGTAGTAGAAGTAGTGGTAGTGGATCGTGGATCGTGGATCGTGGATCGTGGTAGTAGTAGTAGTAGTAGTAGTAGTAGTAGTAGTAGTAGTAGTAGTAATAGTCGTAGTCGTAGTAGTAGTAGTAGTAGTAGTAGTAGTAGTAGTAGTAGTTAGTTAGTAGTTGTAGTAGTAGTAGTAGTAGTTGTAGTTTAGTAGTAGTAGTAGTCGTAGTAATAGTAATAGCAGCAGTAGTAGTAGTAGTTGTAGTTGAGTAGTAGTAGTATTTGTAGTGTGAGTAGTAAAAGTTAGTAGTAGTTAGTAGTAGTAGTAGTATTGTAGTAGTGATAGTATAGTTGTAGTCGTATAGTAGTAGTAGTAGTAGAGTAGTAGTTGTAGTAGTAGTTAGTTGTGGTAGTAGTAGTAGTTAGTTCGTAGTTCGTAGTGCGTAGTGTAGTTAGTAGTTAGTAGTAGTAGTAGTTTAGTATAGTTAGTTAGTTGTAAGTAGTAGTGAGTAGTGTAGTAGTTCGTTGTAGTTGTAGTAGTAGTAGTATGTTGTAGTGTAGTCGTTAGTAGTATGTAGTAGTAGTAGAGTAGTATAGTAGAGTAAGTAGAGTTTAGTAGTAGTAGTATGGTTGTAGTAGCATGTAGTAAAGTTGCAAATGTTAAGTAGTAAAGTTTGTAAGTAGTAGAGTAGTGTTATGTAGTAGTAGTTGTAGTAGTCGTCGTCGTCGGCGTCGTCGTAGAAGTAGTAGTAGAAGTAGTAGTAGTAGTGGTAGTAGTAGTAGTAGAAGAAGTAGTACTAATAGTAGTAGTGGTAGCAGTAGGACTAGTAATATTAGAATTAGTAGTAGCAGTAGTAGTAGTAGTCGTCGTCGTCGTCGTCGTCGTCGTCTTAGTAGTAGTAGTCGTAGTAGTAAGTAGTAAATAGTGATAACTCGTTGTAGTAGTAGTAGTAGTAGTAGTAGTAGTAGTCGTAGTAGTAGTAGTAACAGTCGTAGTAGTAGTCGTAGTAGTAGTGGCGGAGGTAGTAGTAGTAGTAGTAGTAGTAGTAGTAGTAGTAGTAGTAGTAGTAGTAGTGGCGGAGGTAGTAGTAGTAGTAGTA